TCCATGAAAGAAATTAGGAGAGTAAGTACCCGGAGGAGGGCTTTCTCTGCGGTGGCACCCAACCTATGGAATTCACTCCCCAAAGAGGTCCGCCTGGCACCGTCGTTACTGGTTTTTCGGCACCAGGTAAAGACCTTTTTATTTAAACATCATTTGAATGGTTAAAACATATGATCTGGCCAGGGCAACTTCTTCTTCCTTCTCTTTCTCCTCCTATATTTTTATTTACTTAAGTTATACTGATAATTTTAATCTTATATTTGTAAACCAATGTATTTTTTGTATTTTGTATTTAATGGTAATTTATTATGTGCCATTGTATTTCATTGTATTTTATCGTGTTGTAAGCCGCCCTGAGGTTTTGGCAAGGGGCGGCATAGAAATGTTATAATAATAATAATAATAATAATAATAATAATAATAATAATATAAAATAACTAAATACATAAAAAATACTGCATGGAAAAACCACCCAACCATTTAAATACTGGCTGAATAAAACGGCTCCAGCCTGGGGCCAAAATGAATAAAATGTCGGTTCCAGCACACTTCTCTAGAGCATGGCCGGAGTTCCAGAGCTGCGGTGCTACCACAGAGAAGGCCCTTCCCCAAGTAGCCACTCTGCTAACCTCCTTCACAGGGGGGTCCCAGAGGACCCCAGCAGAAGATCTCACAGTCTGGACAGTGCGTGGAAGTGCATGGAAGGTGTTCCTTCAGACAGCCAAGCCCTAAACTGCTTAGGTCTTAATAAGCAAGGTTAACCCCTTAAACTGGGCCCAGAGTCCAACTGGTAACCAGCGAAAGTGAAATAGAACTGGAGTTATCTACTCACATTTGCCAGACCTAGCAAGCAAGTGAAGTATCTGGACCATCCTCAAGGGCAGCCCCTCGTAAAGCGTGCTACAGTAGTCCAGCTGGGAGGTGACCAGAGTGAGGGTCCCCGTTGCTAGGCAGTGCTCACCCAGGTAAGGGCGCCGTTGGTGGATCAGCTCAAGCTGAAGGAAAGCCCTCCTCGCCACTGCCACCCCCGGGACTCCAGGGACAGCTCCGGGTTGAGGAGCACTCCCGAACTGTGCACCCTGTCCTTTAGGGGGAGTGCAGCCTCATCCAGAACAGGGCTAAAATCCCTTACCCAGAAGGCTGAACTGCCTACCAACAGGCCCTCCATCTTGCCTGATCAAGCTTGAATTTGTTGGCCCTCATCCAGCCCATCACCCTGGCCACTGCCTCACCTGGATCAGAAGTAAAAGAGAGGCAGGGCTGGGTGTCATCAGCGTACTGATGGCTCCGCAGCCCAAACCCGCAGGTGACCTCCCAGTGGTTTCATGCAGGTGTTAAAGAGCATGGGGGATAAAACGGAGCCCTGCGGGACCCCCTGGCAAAGTTGCCAAGGTGCAGAGCCACAATCCCCCAGCACCACCTTCTGGAATCGGCTGGCCGAGCTGGGAGCAGGGCAGGGCAGGGCAGTGCCTCTGACTCCCACCCCGGCCAGCCTACTCCGAAGAAGGCCATGGTGGTTGCTGTCGAAAGCCACCGAGAGGTCCAGGAGCACCAACAGGGACGCGTCCCCGTCTTTCTTCCAGCAGAGAAGACCGAGGCAGTTTCAGCCCCAGAACCAGTCCTGAAGCTGGGCCGAAATGATCCAGATGGTCCGTTTGCTCCAAGAGCGCCTGCAGTTGTCCTCAGAGAGGCATTCACGGCGTCCTGGGCCCAGACGTGTGTCCCATCCTTGGCTTCGCGATTAGCCACGCAAGGCGAGAGCCAGGTGCGCAGGTGCTGGGCCGAACTTGTCCCAGCCTCTTGCCCACATCCGGGGGCCTCGGTGACGGAGACTGGTCCAGCCGAGGCTGGCTAGACGGGCACCTCTGCTCCAGGAACACCACCAGGTGTGGGGCCCACCTCGTGACGGATCTGACCGGTCATATCCTTGGCGTGCACGCTCATGACGTGGGCCACCGAGGGCTCGCCAGGATCCATCCTGGGCCCAGCACCGTCCGGAAGAGCTCCGCCGGACAACCCAGGGAAGATGCAGTGCTGCTGGAGAAGCGTCCCTTCTGCCTTGGCCACCGAAAGCAGCCTCGGTGAGGCGCTCGAAGCAGAGCCTGGCCCAGTTCAGCCCCAGCGCTTCTGCAGCTGCCGTCTCCCAGCCTGCTCCGTCGCCCACCGATCAGATGTACGTATACCAAGGCGTTCCGCAGAGGGAGAGGGAGGAAGGGCTCGGAAGTCTAAATCCCACCAGGAAATGTGACCAGACCGTGACAAAGGGGTCAGTGTCAGTCCCCTCGCCGCCAGAGCACCCTCCTCCTGCCCGGTCAAGGGTGTGACTGATCACCCTTTCTCAGCTGGTCCTACCTCGCAGGGTTGTTGTGCGGATATGGGGAAAGGCCTATGTATACTGCCCTGAGCTCTTTGCAGGAAGGTAGAGAGGTCCAGTGTCTAAGCGTGATATTGGCAGCAGTATTACACTTAGGTGTTATAATGAACATTACATCCATGTCTGAGGCGCACACACCGTATTTTTTTCCTGCACAGCACCTCTCTCCTGCCTTCCAAAAAAGAAAGCTGCAAGAGGCCCCCACGGCCGCAAGCCCAGCCCGAGCGGTCGCTCTTGAGCACGGCGCCCGCCGGTCGGTCCCGCTCGCCGTTGCGCCCGCAGAGCCCCGGGCGGCGTCGGGACGGGCAGGGGCGCCTGTGGCGACGGGGCCGCCCGGGAAGCCGCGCTCTGGAAGCGGAAGCCTCGCTTCCTCTGCGCGAAAGAGGAAGCCGAGCAGGGGCCAGAATCCTTACAGGGGGCGCCTCGGTTCGCGTATTTGATGCTGTGTGTGTGTTGATAATGTGTGTGTGTGTGTGTGTGAGAGCGCGAGGGAGGGAAGGGGGGCAATTAAAGTGCAAGCGCACTTCCCTTTTTTAACGCTCTATTGTATCGAGAGGCGAGGTCGGTTTGGTGCGGCGAACAATGCGGGAACTGCACGCTCCAGCAGCCTCGCAGGAATTCGGGTCTCCTCTTTTATCCTCGCTGCATGCAGCGCGTTTGGTGACACACGGAAAGGCACCAAAAGGCACTTTGCCCTTTCCTGTAAGCTAAAGGGAAACCCACGGACACCAAGGGCGATGGCGGGAAAGAACCGTAGGACCTCAGAAGCCTATTAGCCCACCAGCAGACTCTCCAGCCCGGGAATCTACTCGGATCCACCCCGGTTCCTGGACAGTGGGAGGAAGGCCGAGTGCAAATGCAAGGCCCGAACAAGCGTTTCCCCCAAAGCAAAACGGACAAGAGCGCCCCTCAGAGCTCCCCGGAGAAGACCCTGGTCCCGGAGAGGGAAGGCAGGAGCCGAAGGGAGGACCACACGCCAGGAGGATGGGCAGCTGCGGCGGTGGTCCTTCATCGGCCGGAGACGACTGGGTGGTGCACGGCAACACAGCTCCGAACCATCCAGGGGGCTTTGCCTACGGGGGGTAGAGAAATGAGGCGAGGAGGAGGAGGAGGAAGGCTCCCGAAGGACAGCACCCGCCTCCCGAGGCACAGCTGCACGGCCCATGCTGCCAAGGTCTTTGGCCTGAGTGACTCACGACTCCTTTAGGTCCCAGCACCAGTGGGTCACCTCAGGGCGCGATGAGCCCGGATCCGGTCCCATTCCTGTGGAGAGGCCCCGGAACTGGCCCTGCTCTTGGGAACAGGCTCTGCCACACGCCCCCTCCTCCCGCACCCGGCGCTTGCTCTCTCTCGTAGGGCGGGCCTCTTCCAGGAGTCCATCCAGAACTGCTGCCCACATGCCCCACACGCTCGTCCTGGAGGGCGGGCACACCCCCAGCCCAGGCGCATCCCCCCCCAGGGATGCCCCCTCCCTCTTTCCACCAGTGTCCCTTTGTGCACCTCCTCAGCCGGCCGCTCCCCCCTTCTGTGGAACCCTGCAAGGTCGGCTTACCTCCCTCGCCGGTCACCAGGGAGCACCATGGCCGAAGTGGTGCAGCCCCGTCCCCCGAGCCCCACCCTGTCCAGCCTTAACTGCCACATCACCCTGCACGGCCCCAGTGCAAACCAGGAGACGTGCGGCACTGGGAACTGCCTCACACCTGCATGTGTGCGGGCTCTCCCGTCCCCTCAGCCAGAGGGACGGGGCACACATGCACGGCCCTGCCGGCCCCCACGCCAGGCCTGGAGGCCCTTCTGTGATCTGGGGGCTTTTGGGGGCCAGCCACTCAGGTGCTGCTTGTGAGCTACCCCTGCAGTCAGGGAGGGATTACTGTCATCCCCCCCACCTGAGGAACACGAAGGCTGCAGTTTTGGGTAGCGCTGGTTTAACGTCTGGGGCAGTGCCTGCTACAGAAATGGAGCCATCGCCGAAGAGCCCCTGCGGGCGCACCACGAAATGCTTATGCTGTCAGAAGCAAAAGGGCAGGCCTTCAGAAACGGCGTGGTTTTCACCAGCTCGGCTGGCGGCTGTCGCACGGGACTTATGGCAAACGCTCCGTGGTTCCGAGAACAGGTCTGGCAAAGCCTTTTTTTAAGGCGGTCAAAGGTTTTCAGCCTGTGAAAGGTTGCAGGCTTGTGTCTTCTTCCGGCCGCCTTGCGGGCCTCCCATTGACCACACACTGCTCTAGACGCGAGTTGTGCAAGAAGCAGAGCAGCGCTGTCCAGAGGTTTGGGGTTACAATTCCCATAATTCCCCAGCCAGCTGGGGGGGCACAAAAGGGGCGGGGCCAGACAGCCACCTCGCTGAGTCCAGAGCCCTTCCTGGCAGCCCTTAAGCCTCTGCAGGGAAGCTTCAACCTGCTAAGCCGGCGGAGGGCGAAGGGGTGCCAACCAGCCCCGCCCCCGGCACCTGGTTTTCGGGGAAGCAGCTGTGGTCCCTTGGGGGACCCGATGTCCTTCACCAGGAAGGGCCGAATACCAGGTCCAGAGCCATCCAGCCTGTTGCTGCGCATCACCAAAGCAACCCTCCTGGGTTTCTCTTTTTGCTTCGGTTCTAGGTCCTTCCCCATCGAACAGGAGACCGATATCTCATTTGCCATTTTATTTATTTTTCGCCTGTTGGGTTTTCTCTCATCATCCGTGCAGGGAGCGCCTGGGCCCAGCAAGCCTTTTACAAAGCCGGCCATGCGGGTTCCGGACTTCGGGGAGTTTTTCCAGGTCAATCCCCTCCCAGGTGGCGGTGCCTGCAGCGTTTCTGGATCGGGATTGCTGGGACGCGTCAAATGGGGGCCAGATGGTCCTGCCCCTCCCAGCCGGCCCGGTTGCTGCACAGCCGCCGGGCAGACGAAGCCGCACGGCAGGAGGCCGTCAGCTGAGGCTCTCCAGGCTCGTCTTCGCCCTCTCCATCTCGTGAAGGAAGCTGTAGAACTGGGGCAGCGTTAACTCTGAGGAGGGGCAGAGGGAGCACTCAGGACGGGCAGTGCAAGAACGCCTCCGTGCGACACGCCAGCAACTTTGGAACTCGCTGCCACAGGACGGCCAGGAGAGGGAAACAGAATGCTCACAGACACAGGAGCCTCAGCGAGGCCCTGCTGGATCAGACCCGCCGGTCCAGCACTGCATTCCCACAGGGGCGAACCCGCTGCCCACAGAGTCCCCCCAGCAGGATGGGTGCCAGGCCTCTGCCTGGCCAAGCTCCTTTCTGCACAGGCACGGCGCCTCGGGTCAAGGAGGCGGCGCAGAGGGAGAGCGTGTCTCCCTTGGCAGGCACTGGGGACAGGCAGGCAGAGAAAGGCCCCGTTCGGCCCCTCCTGCACACACGTGGCTTCGGGCTGCCCACAGCTGGAGACAGGATGCTGGGGCAGAACATCGCGACCGACCTCCCGCCTGCAGAATGCCTCAGCCGAGTGCTTTGCAACGCCTGGTGCATTGCAGGGGGTGGTCAACTGGGCTGGCCACAGGGCAGGTCCTGCGATGGCCCATGAGACCCTCCTGCGTTCACCTCGCTTGGCAGCTTAAGGGGTGGGTGGGAGGCTATTCAGCCGCAACGGCTTAACTCTCCAGCGACGCACCGCCCAGGCCGCCAGCCTTCCCTCCACCGCATTCCACGTGGAAAGGCAGGAGGCGCTGGGTGTGATGCGAAGAAATGATCAGGAGGCAGGGCGACCGCCTTCTTCCAGCTGGAGGGGCTGCGACATGGGCAGCCCGTGTGGCACAGTGGCGAGGACCCCGGTCTGGGACTCGGGAGAGCTGGGTTCCACGTCCCACTGGGCCTAAGGCTCCCTGGGCGACTTCCACCAACTCTCAGCCCCGCCTACCTCACAGGGCTGTTGTGAGGATACACTGAAGAGGAGGAGGGCCACGGAAGCCGCCTTGCGCTTCCTGAAGGCCAAGGGGGATTTTCAGGCAATGAGCAGAGGAGGGGCCCTGGGCAGACGCGCCCCACGCAGAAGGAAGGGGGCCTCAGCTCGACGTGATGGCAAGCACCGTGGGACGGGCTGCCGGAAAGGGGCACGCACTGCTCTGCTCAAGCGCCGCTTGCAGAGGCGGGGAGGCCGCCCCCCAGGGGTGCTGAACGCGTGGATTGCCCGTACTGGCGACAGGCTGGTCTGCATGATCTCTGCAGCTCCGAGATCCCACGGCAGGCGGCACAGCCCGCCCCGCTTCCGAGGTGGGGCACCCCACAAGCACAGGAAGCTCAAATCCCCCCACCCACACCCCCCCCGGCCAGTGCCACACCCACCGTGGTCACGAGTCTCCCAAATCCCAGCCGGGCTGCTCCCGAGAGCGCTGTGTTCCCCACATTGTTGCACGGGAGCAGCTCGGCCACAGCGTGACGGTCCCCGGAGCCACAGCAAGATTTCAGTGGGCATGAAGGGAAAGTGGGATAGGTGGTCCTACTCGACAGACACTGCCTGACCACTGGAGGAGGAGGAGGAGGAGGAGGGGGGTTCCCCTCTCCAGGAACCCCTCCCCAGTGTTTTTACAGATTCCTGCTAGGAAGCTGCAGCCTGACGTTTGCTTGACTTACAGGCTGAAACTTGGATTGCCAAGTTAGCTGAGCAAAGCCAGGCGAGCAGATGCCCCCTTAACATCTCGCTCCGGGGACGCAGTTTCAGCCTCCCCGCGGGTTCGATTGCCTCCCTCTGTTTGCAGAGCCCCCCGGGAGACGATGCCAAGCCACTCACCCATGTACACGGGCTCCACTCGGCTCCCCTTTTTAACCACCAGCTTCAGCTGGAAACAGAATCGGTTTTAAAAGTCGATCAAGTTACAGCAAAGGATCCTCACGAAGTGGCGCGATCCCACTCCCGCCCCTGGGAGACCCCGGCTCCTTCCCTGCAGGCGTTTCATGGCGGGGCAGGCACACCCAGGCACTGGGCAAGAGCTCGGGGGCGCCCCCGAACCACGGGGAAAGGCCTTCTCGTGGGAAGGTAGGAACAGAGAACCTGAAGCGGGAAACCCGTTTGCAGGTGGACAGGCGGGAGAGCCATCACTGTGACCTCAGAGAAGAATATGGACTTGTAAAGAGGGCACCCCCCCCCCGCAGCCCAAATGGGCACCCCACCTTGCGGAGAGAGGGGGGCTCCCCCCGCGTTGCCATCGGGCACCTGGAAAGGGTACGGAAAGCCCAGGCCAGGGTGAGTGCTCAGTCCCTGGCAACTGCTCAAGCTCCAGCGCCCCAGACGCAAGGAGACACCAGTCACGTCTGCCGCCCCATCACCCCACGCGGCCCCAGGCATGGGGTGGTCCTGGAGCCCAGGGGAGAAGCCACACCACCTGCAGAGGAGGGGGGTTTACTCGGGGTCGGCCTCCTTCAGCTCCAGACTAACTTTCCCAGCCCTCCCCTGCCCCACGGCACTGACAAGAGCCAAGGCCCAGAGCCACGTCCCTCGTCTGGACACCTGCTGTGGCCACGATCCCCCCGTCCTTTGAACTTGCTCTCTGCTCCGAAGGCAAGGAGCAGAGGGCCTGCTTCCTCGCTCCTGCCCCGGGATGGGAGTCGGGGGTCGGGCACTTTGCCAGGTGGGCGAAAGACGCTGCCTTTCCCCGCGAGACCCCTTGAAGCCGCAGAACACCCCTCGCCCCACACATCCCAGCACAGCCAGGGACCCACAGCCCGCTTGTGCGCACACCACAGCAACCTCGCTGCCGGCAAGAGCCTACGCCGTTCAGTTGCACTCCCGCCAGAGTGGTCTAATCCTGCAACTTTTAGACACTGTATGTGGCAAAGACCCTGAAGCCCCCTGACCTCCTCTAAGCACTAGAAAGTCCCCTCCACCCCAGCCCAGCCAGTGCCCCCGATCTTCCAAGCCTTCATAAGGACAGGCGACCTGCTGTCGAGATCCAAGCGGACCTCCTCAGGAGGACTCATCCTGTCCCCGCTACTTTCTCCTGTGCTCGCAGTGAGACTGCAGGCGGAAGACAGGTGGGGCTCGCTTCCCCCGAGCGCCTCCTCCGGGAAGGCTCACCTGTAGGAAGACGCCTCCCACCTTCCCCAGTTCGCTGCTCGCCGCCGTGACTGTTGGAGAGAAGGAGGAGGGGAGTGGGAGGCCTGGCAGAGCCTCAGCCCCGGGCCGCCCAGCCCAGAAACCGCTTACCACCAAACCGCCACTCCATGTCCGCAAGCTGGTTGATCACCAGGGTCTGCCCCACGGCCAGGCGTGAGAGGGCGGGAGCGTTCTCCTTCCACTGGAGGGAGCACAAAACGGGTATTGCTCGTGCGAGCCCCTCACTGCATCTTCCTACGCCGGAGGAGGTTGGTTTCCGCACCAGCAAACAAACAGAACAGCATTCTAGTCCTTAACGCCCAGGTGGGCCGCGATCTCAGTCTTCCCCGAGGTGGCAGCCCCCGACTGTTCCCTGCACTGCTGTGGCTCATGGGAGACCAAACTTCTGGGGGGCACCAAGCTGGGGAGGGATGCTCAGCATCATCTCCATCGCAGCCGATGTTGCTCCCGTTCGTGCGGGCCCGAATCCACCTTTGCCGCGCAACGAGGGCTCTCCGGGAGGGGAGAGGCCATGTCCTAGGCCATCCCAGGCCTACCATGCCAGCAGCCCCGCCTCCCATGGGAGGCGTTCGAGTGGCGCCTTTCGCTGAGCTGCTTGACCAGCTCTATTTACGGGGTGTTTATCAAAGCCCTAATACGCTCAATAGGCAATTTGTACTCTTGAATGGCTGCAAGCAATTCCGTGTGATGGGAACAGGGCGAAACAGAAATTTAGCAAAAGGACTAGATCTGCCAAGGGAAGTTCAGGACAGAATCCTGCGCAAGCTTAGACAGAAACAGCTCTACAGTTCTCCACATTCTCCAGGGGACACGAAATATGCTCAGTATTGTGCTGTCAGCTGATTCTTTTTCTGCCCTGCCATCAATTACTTTAGGCCTTAAGTAGGCTTGCTATTTAAAGGCATCTTATGCAATGCCTCCCGGTCCGCGAAAGCGGGCAAAGCGACAACGCTGAGCTCTGCAAGATGGACTCCCAGGTGAGGGTCTGCAGGACAAGCAGCCGTAGGGTCCCAGCCAGCGTCTGTGAGCTCCCAGGTCAATGGGCCTATTCTAAGTGGCCCAGATCAACACAGAACACCTTGTAAGGATGTCAAGGTAAGTTAGGGTGCTGCTGCGATCTTACGGCCCTCAGGTGCTGCGGGGGGTGGGGGGCGGCAGCGATAGGACTCTGTGGAGCCTCAGGCCGGAGGTCTCTGAAGGTCTCCATTGAGAGCGGCTGCCCCCGCTTTGCAGCCAGCACAAAAACCATCGTGCCCCGTGCCTCCCCGAGAACTGAAATGCCCCCCGGAGGGTGCGGGGGGGCATGCTGGGGCTGCAACGGGGAGCAGCCCCACTACTCGCCGGCGCTTTGTCCAGATGGCCGCAACAGCCCCCAGGAGAAAACGGAGGCTGATGCGCCTCCCAGCTGGGGAGCCCCTGGATTGTGCCTGTACACGCGTGTGTGCAGGACACCGACAATGGGAAAGAGGGAGGGAGATGGGTGCCGGTGGAGAAAGACAAAAAGCAAGCCCTGGTCCAGCTGGCGATTTCTGTTCTGGTAAGAACGCGAGAGAGGGTGGCATTCCCGGCCCGCAGAGGGAAGGAATGTGACCGGTACCTGCTTTTCAAAACAGCCGGCCTTCGCCTCGCTCAGCCCTGCAGGAGAAACACGAGGCGGTTAGAGAGGAGAGCGGTGGCCACCCTCCAAAACCACCCGAGGCGTGCGGAACGAGACCTACCCAGGGCGATAAGATCTGCTCTGACCTGCTCCGCCGACAGCGTTCTCTTCAGCGCACCTAGAATAAATATTGTAGGAAAGAGAAGGGGGGAAACGGGCCCACAACCCAGTTAGACTGCTTCACTGCCGCACAGGTTACGAAAAGCCGAAAGCACCGCAGCCAGAAGCACGTACGCCCAGCCGCAGTGGAAATGAATGGCGGGCAGAAAACCAGGACAAACAGACCGAGCCGGACACAAAGGGCTTTTGTGCGGCAAGAACCGACTGCGGAGCGCAAGCACACCTGCCCCCCACCCGAGAGGTCAGGCAAGCCTCTTCCTTTGGGCGGCTGGCAAAGGAACACAGGACACAGATTAACATAGAAGCGAGGCAGAAGGGGCCTCCGGGCCATCTAGTCTGACCCCCGGTCCAGCCAGCTCTGCTCAGGGCACGCCCACCACGCACTTCTGCTGAACTTTTACCAGGACATGCCCACTCCCTGCTTTTATCATTAACCCCCAGGTTAAAATATGGGTTGGGGGTTTGGTGTTTGAACCCGTGTGTGTGTGTGTGTTGGTGGGGGGTGTTCATCACCTCGAATGCTCGCCGAGCAGAGAGGCGATGCAGACCGATTCCATTTTTGTTAGGCAGAATAAAGCCCTACAGCTCCCAGCATTCCCAGCCGGCACAGTGGAATGCTGGGAGGCGCACGCACCCCTGGTATCTCATCCTGCCTCCTCCTTGCTGAATCCGCACCCCCTTCTGCCCTCGCCCCAGCGCAGCCCCAAGGAGCATCTCCAAACCCACAACTGGCCCCCTGGCTGAGAAAGCCCCCACATCCTTGCACTGCAGCGAGGAGGGTGTGGGGGAGAGGGGCCAGGCCCAGGCCCAGGCAGACCACCCCGAACCTCCCCGTGGGGACTTTTCGCCGTCCTCCACTCCACAACCCAACCTAGAAATGGGCACACCCAGGAAAAGGGACACAGCAAGAGAAGGCCGGGGAGCGGGGCGCAGAAGGCCCCCCCCCACAAGCAGCTCCTCTCTGCCAAGTTTTCAGGAGCAAGCAAACCTCAGTGCCGCGGCAGGGCCCCTTTCGCTTTGGCCCCAAAGGTGCCTGGCGGGGTCCCGGAGGTGGCTGGCCAGGGGCCACGCACACACGAGCAGCTTCCCCCAGCTCCACCCAGCACACGCGTTTCCCCACCAGCTCCCCTGGGGTCCCCTCAGGCTCCCACTCACCATTGGGAACTAACAGCAGGCTTCTGACGATGCTTTTCAGTGGGCCGAGGCTCATTTTATTTGCGGTGGCAAAATCAGAGAGCTGAGCCAGGAACCTTTCCACCTGCACGAAGAAAAGGGAGACGCCCGGCCCTTTCAGGCACACGCTTCCGTGGTCCAGGAGGAGCAAGTCTTCAAGCAGAACGTGCCGCACATGAGCGAGGGGAATTTGGGGGCCAGATGGGGCACCCCGACAGGATTGCTTCAGGATGCATCCTGAGGCTATCAAGGTCTTTTCCACAAAATGGTACATAACTTAAAAGTAAAGTTTCTAGCCCTCACCGTTCCCAGAATAGGCTTGAGAACAGCATGGGAGGAGGTGTTGTGAAAGTTCAAACGCTGGATGAGGGGGCTTATGGGAAAAGTCTGGTCTTCCCCATGAGGTGGGCCGGGCAGCTAAGCCTTCCAACCTGGATACTTTCATTGTCTTTGTCAGGACTGGAAAAGGTGGAACAAGTAACAAGACTATACACGTTGAGGTTTGCAATATTTATGCAGTGTGCAGAATCTGGACTTTTGAAGCCATGCATGTATGGTATAAAACATTTTAAGGTGCATTTTTCTGCTTTTTCTATTCTTTTTCATGTAGAAGTACACTCCATCGTATGCTCCACTTCTATGTCATTACTAGTATTTTAAAAAAATATAAAACTCCTATGAGATAGAGAAACTTTTAAAGGTGTCCCTCAGGCAGGGGCTTGCCTTCCATTTTGACTTACATTTAAAACAAGACTGGAATAATGATTTAAAAACACCTCACCACATGTAACATTTGAGGCAAAGTAGGCCTGACTTGTGCTCCTGAATTTTTCTTGCGTTTGTCCCCCTTACCTCTTTAGGTTCTCGCAGGAATTGGAAGAGTACTTCAGTCAGAGCAGAGAATTGCTGGGAAGAAACAGGGAAGCGGACGTCAGGGAAGGAAGGTTACCAGGGACCCCCCTTGGGCCCCGCCAGCCCTGCCCTTCCCAGACCCAGGACAGCCTTAGTGGGGAGGGACGCAGTTCCCCGGCAGAAGCGCTTTGAGGACCTGGACCGGAGACGCACGGCCGTCCCGAGCCGGAGGCACCACAGCTGCAACCCGGTGCAAACTTGCACACTGGAGCTGCAGGTCTTTCTTCTGCCCAAATTTGCATAAGGCTGTGCCTTTAATGGCACAGATTTTGATTTTACGACTGAAACAGTAGTGAAGGAAAAGGGAAACACTCTTTCGGTTTAGGCGACCTTTGCATATGCTGCGGTCGGAACCATCTAGGACCGCCCTGCTTTTGCAAGGGTTTGCAGAGTGTCCTGAGCCCAGCTCTTGGCTGCAACCCGAGGCAGACCGGCCTGGGAGCGTTCCCAGCCTCAGCGCAGGGCAGTCATGAGTAGACCTGCGCCAGGACGGCCGTCTATCAACTGAACACCCACGGAGTAAATGTTGGAGCCCTGGAAGAACACCCTGCCGAGGGCAAGCGTCGGCAACCCGGCGCCCTCCGTATCTGTTGGATCACTGCTCTCAACAGACACGGGAGTTGCATCCAACACCTCTGGAAGGCTCCAGGTTGGGGAAGGGTGGCCCAGACAAGGTCACTCTGCACCCTGAGGGCCGATTTATTTCCAGTTTGGACCTGACCTTGGAAAAATACTGAGTTTTGAAAATGGGAGGGGGGTTGGCCCCATAAAATATTTTATTTTATATGGTTATTTTATATTATTTTTATACTGTTACTTTTGTAATTTTCTTCATATTGTGAGCCACCCCGAGGCTTCGGCGAATGGGGCGGCATCTAAATGTCTTAATAAATAAATAATAAAAAGTGCTGCGATTCTCTAGGGCAGGTACGGGGCAGACCCTACACCCCCGCACGAGAAAGTCGCAGCCCCCATTGGGACGCAGGCAGGCCAGGTGAGGGGCCCTCCCGTTTCCACGCCGGCCCAGGAGCCCAAGAGGTCGAAGACAGGCCGGTGGTCACTTTGGCTCCAGGCGAGGAAGAACTGGGAGGGGATACGGCCCACAACCATTCGGGGGGGGGGATCAGCCCCACTGCGAGGTCAGCCATGTGGGGGACTCGGTTTTCCGCGCGCCTGGCCGGGCGTTTGCGCTTGGCCCAGGAGCCAGGTCACCTGCCCGGTGGGCGTGGCCGGGGCGGCCCTCCAGGTGCGTCGCCTCCGCGTTCCTGCCCGCGGGCCAGGCGGCTGCGCAGAGCCGGCGCCCAGCACGCAGGCCCCGGGCGGCTCTCCCGGCGCGGGCGGGAGCGTCCGGGGAGGGCGCGCGCCTTCCCTGCAGGGCCGCCGCACGGGGAGCCCCGCGGGAAAGGGCCCCCGGAAGCCGCCGCCCGCCCCGCGCCCTCCGGCCCGCGCTCTGCTCCTGGCGCGCCCAACGCGGAAGCGCAGGCCGCCCGCCCGCCCGCTCGCCCGTCGCCCACCTGCGCGCCCAGCTGGCTGAGCTGCTGCATGTCGGCGAGCACCGCATCCGGCACCGGCTCCCGCGTGCAGTGCAGCACCCCCATGGCCTGGCGGCGGCGGCGGCGGGGGCTCGGCTCCTCCCCTC